TGTAAGAAAGTATTTACTCATTTTTTACTAATTTCCATACAAAGTAGAAAAAGCAAGTGTTTAGAAAATACTTAAATAAAAAAAATAAAAAACAATAAATACATTTTTAAAAAACATGAAAATCGTCCCTCATAAATGTTTTGGAACCTTTAAATGACTGTAAAATACCCTATTTTTTCTCTACAAGTTGAGAGAGTGTCAAAAAATTGAATCAAAATGAGAGCGCATGAAACTATTTCCAGTTCGATGCAACATTTTTGTTTTGAGTAACACCACACAATAACAAAATTTTGCGATAATATAACACAAATATTGTCCAAATGTTTCACAAATTCTTATGATTTTAATAATTAGTATGCTTTTTTATATCATTTAATTAATATAAAATAGTCAAAATTGGAAAATTGATTTTTCGAGTGATTCTCACGATTTTGGGTGTCCACTGAAGCCTTAATTCAAATAATTTAACAGGAAGTTATATTTACTTCTGTAATAAAAGCTCTATAACACTCATCAGAAAACGCAAAATTAACAGGAATTAACATTTCACATTTAATCAATTCTGCGAAGAACATTTAACGTGCTTTTATAGAATCTAAAAGAGGAATTGAAAAGATAAAACTTAATCCTAAAAGAATCGGAAACAAAATTTGTATTCATGTAATTAAAAATCTTTCTACTGAATTTAATGTTTTTCTAAAAGTTCCACGATAAAAATTTTGCTTCCGGCCAGTAGAAGCATTTTGGGCCACTTTTTAAAAAATTTCAAACTAAACTATTCAAAAATTATTGATATTTGTGAAAAGTATTTCGCAAAATAGGGTGTAAACACTACAGGGTTCATTTTTAAAATAAACATCTTCTCTAAGTTTATGTAAAATTTAAAGATTGTATTGAACGTTTTCAGCTAATAGAATGTAAGTTTCTTTTTTTCAGTATAAAATTTATGTTCATTATCAAACATAATAATTATGTTTGATAATAATTTATCAAGCATAAAATTTGTTCGTTTCAAAAACTAATCTGAAATAATCGTAACCATAAATGTACCGACTATAAACTAATATGGAAATGACTTTTTAAAACGAATGATACCTTTAATAACCAAATTCAGCCGCCCTTAAATTCTTAACTAGCTTAAAATAACCATTCCATCCGGTAATAGAACCAGAGATGATATTTCGGAGTAAATAGAATATACAGTGAAACCCCGCTATAGTGAACGTGGTGTGCGGATATAGTGAACTAGCGGTTATAGTGAACCGAAATGTCGGTCCCTTGGAGGTTCACTTTAGCGGGGTTGGACTGTGTTTTCGTCGTGGCTATGAAGCAAATTTTTAATCGCCTTTTCTTATTTACGCTCCTTAGTTTTTTCCTGAACTATCCATAAAATTCTTTACTTGTACCAAATATTCTCATTCTGTTAGTCAAAATATTTGTATCAACAAAATATTCACCAGTTTTGATTGCGAATAATTATCACACCGTACCGTGTAAACAAAATGAATATCATGTCCTTTCAAACCTTTACAAAATGAGGAAATGTTAAAACTAAGGAAGCGTTCAACTTTTTTTTATTTCAGCCTATGTGGTTATTCGAATCGATCCAAAACAATTTCGAAAAACACCTTCGATTACGTAAAAAGAAAGCTTAGCATGGATGCTTGGCCAAGCGAAAAATCAATTGAGAAATTGTCCGAAATGTGTGACATTCAGAAAATGGCGAGTTTATGGAATTAAGTTGTTACTCAAACCATTTTAAGCCTCTTTTGGAATAAATTATACAATCGAAAAAGGTTGAGGAATGTGAAATTGAAATATTGTATTGCGGTTCAGGATAGAGTATAAAACGTGATAACGAATTTTTCTGTAATTATCTTCCCAGCTGAAAACCTTTCTTGAAGTAAAACGACATAGATATTAAAAAATTCTTAATTTTCATTCCAAGCTTTTGTGTAGAACAGGTTTTATTTTTTATTTCATTTTTTCCGATTGAGTGTAGTATTTAATGACACAAAAATCAGGTGGCGACATTCAGTGAAATCAAATATGACCTTCATAAATTATGTCAGAGGTAAAAATTGAAAAAGAAATCAGAAGTATCTTAGGGTTTACTTTATGGATCTTTAAAATTTTTTTTATTCTGCAGCATATCGGGGTAAAAAAAATAGGCAAAATAAAATCTTCGTTTCTGGAAGCCACAAAGTTGCGGTGTTAGAAGTTTGTATAAGTAGTTTAAGCAGGCAGCTTGATCGCTCCAAATTAACTTTGTAAGACAAAAATGCTAGAAACTTTTCGAACGTAATTTTTTTTTCAAAGGGCTATTTATCAGATTTTTTTTTTTTTTTTTAGAAATTATTGGTTGTGAAATAGTAATAATTGTGAGACTAAGTTGTGCATAACAATATTATAACAGTCGTTGAACAGTCGACCCAATTTTATGGGTTGTTCATCCCCGTAGCCTTGTCATTTTGAACCCAATTCAGAAGACAAGAAAACTCCTGGATCGAGCATTGGGAGAAATTTGCCTTCATGGGGGACTTTTTGATGGAGCTAACCCGCATTTGCGTTACATAGAGAGGAAGACCACAAGAACCTCCCCACGGTTAGCCTGACAAGAGGACTCTAACCCATGATCCGTCTAAGACTGAGGATATTTCCCGTTAGCACTGTGATCGGTGCAAGCCGGATGCGGAATTCGAATCAACTGGGATTCGAACCCGGTTCGCCTCATGGGAGCCATCGCGACTCTGTGAATAGTAATAGTAAAACTAACTACCATTTTTAATGAAATATACTCGTGCATAAAGTTCATAAGAAAATTCCATTGTTCGCAACTAAATTTATATGTTGTTTATGTTCAAAATGCGTTTAAGTTATTTATAACGTAAGCAAATTTAATATATTAATAAATTTAATCTTTCGCTTTTTATTCATTCATAATTTTGCTAACAATTAATTGCAAACATAAACAAAAAATATATATCTTACTTTTGGGAGTTTCCAGAGTTTCTCCAAGTAGCAAGAAACTGGATTAACTGATTTAACCCATTTTAGCCCGATCATATAAATTTTCAAAAATTTGGTGTTTACTTTAATTGAAATATTACTTCAATTAAATGAGACTAAATTCAATTATATTCATTAAGACACAGAATTCATGTATAAAATATTATATTTTATTTAAGAAATGAAACGGGACGTATAGGCGCGCCATTCACCAAATCAATGAACAAACCATTTAGTTGAACGCTTGTTTTTTTATTAATTTTTATTTTATTGACTGACACTATCGTTAATGTTCATAAACATCACTGAAAGTTTTTTTTTTTTTGTCTATCCTATAAAAATAAAATTTTGATTCAACAGCTGAATGAAGAGCATTTAAATGAGATATCATTTCAAATGAAATTGCCCCCATTATTTTCTTCAAAATATTCACCAGTTTAAGGTAAAAAGTGTACTTTAACTTTTTTCAAAACTGTAATTTGTGCCAATTTGTTAAGTTTGATAAATACTTGAAAAATATTGTACGTATTAATAAAAAAAACTATTTAACTATTAGCGGAATTATTTACGGAATAAAATACAAAATGTAATAATAAAAGAAATATAAAAAGTTCTCTTTAGAAATTTAACAATTTGAATATATAGAGGAAGGAAACGCATTTGCTTTATGTGAAATTTGTCAGCATACTTGATAACAAACATCGACTACAAAATCATATTCTTGTTAAAATTTGATTTAATACGAATACAACCTTCACTTCAACACTTGGTTTTCGTCAACGCTGAAATATAATGCAACGCACTACATTTTCTAATTTTGTGCAAGTGTTCATTTTCTTAAAATGATACTTTGAATTTACTAACTATTTCCTAAATTTTACTATCAAGTACTTTTAATTCCTATAAATATTTAACTTTACAATTATTTTAACTGCTTCCCTTACAAATTTTTTTAAAAAAAGAATACAAACCCATTTTTTTTTCATTCATAAATACGAGGTTCTAAAGCAAAACATAATACACAAGTTTTAAGTTGAATTTGGAAATTTTTTTACGTGTAAACAACATTTCATTGATCATCAGTTTACTATACCGCGTTATCTCGGGCAAGAGAGAAAATTAAATATGAGTCTTTGTATGAGTTTTTAAAACAAGGAACCACGCAATGATACATTCCATACAACAGTGAAGTGATACGCCATTTTTTTACTCTTTTTTTCTATGCAAATTCAGTAACCATAGTACTATATACAATCGCACAAACAAACAGCAAAACTCCCAAAGAAATCTTGGCAAGCTTCCAACCACAGCAGATTTTTTTTAAATTTCTTTTTTAACTTCTGGCCAAATAAAAATGTGATAAAACGAAACGTATGGACGAATTCTGCTATGTCCGAATTTACGCGAAATAACAAATATTTGCAATATATACACACCAGAGTTAACTCTGGATAGTTCAGGGAAGCGGTTAAAAACTACTTTCAATATAGGGATAAAGAAAAATTGTTAGTGATATTTATTCAATAGCAAATGAAGCAAATTTCCTATTGAACAAAAGTAATAAGTTATTTAGAAAGCAAATCAATTTCAAGCAAATTGGTAACTAAAACACCTATCGGTAATTTTAATATTAGTTTTGAATAGGTATCAAATGTTTTTAAAAAAATTAAAATTATTCGTTAATTTAACAAAAGGATAAATTACATATCAAATATATTTCGTCTTAAAAAGTTAAATTATGAATTTAAATAATGAAATTATAAAGTAGCGTACGATTTGCAAAATCCATAAAATTTATCAAAATAGAACCTTCCTCATCACAACATAACACTAAACTATGAATATACTTGCAAATTAATAAATTCTAAAAAATAACATATACAATTTAAAATGATTTTAAAAATCTGCACTTTATATAACCTCAAGATAAAATATTTTTACGACAAACTAATGAAGCAACTATAAATATTTGCAAAGTGACAAAAACTTACATGAGAAATGGAATTAAATATTGTCATTCCTCCCTCTCATCCCGGGGATGAAGAATGGAAGAAATGAAGGAGGAAGTTTTTTTGAAAACACAAAACACTTTCTCTAATGAAAACTTACCACCGTGATAGAGTCGACCTACAAATTCCAGTCGGGAAATCAAATGATAATTTTACACGCACCAAGGCACAAAATGCGGGTCTCTTTGTCGGATTGATTTTCTTAACTCGGCAATTAAGCTGAATTTATAAATTGTGTAAAAAGTTTTAAAATTACTTTCGAATAAAGTTCGTGCTTTTTTCTTTCCCAAATGCGTCTTGTAAGGCTAATTTGTGGGTGGTAACGGTTTCGAAAGTTTTGAAAACTTTTTTGAATTGCACCGGCATATCTCACAATTCAACTGACAGTAGGGGGCCACTCTGGCTGTACGAAGCGTGGAACTAGCGAGTTCTTTCTCAGTATTGCGCTCTTTGACAAAAGCTTATAAGCCTTAATTAAGAACACAAGCCCTCAAATGTATGTTGTATCAATAAAACCAAGGGGCCTCCCTGGTCGAGCTGTATTTCCACCCAACACTGCGCCAAGCGTAGAGGTAGCGGGTTCGAATCCCGCCGTTAAACTGGATGTATCTTAGTGCTGTCCTTCTCTGCAGTGGGCTATATGTTCTTCTACTTGAAAAAGGCTTAATTGAACACACAATGCAAATGTATAAGTCAGTCCCACAGTGGACGGATCATTAAGACACGGTTCCCAGTAGAACACCGAAGTCAAACACCACCGACTGAGGTCAGTGTTCGGATGGGTGACCACTTGGATCAGTCTGCGTAGGGACCGAGGGTGTGTGGTATGAGTCCTCGTTAAACTGTTCTACCGTAAAGTGCTCGATTTTGCGAGCAGATCGTCGGGCTACCGAAGCGGGGGTGCCATCCCCTCTGCAGAGGATCAAAATTGCGATGGTATGTCTTCGGATCATCCTCAGGGATGCTTCCCAGTCTCTAGTGCGACGTAAATGAACAACAACAATAAGTCAATAAAACAATAAAAAATAAAATATAAAAATTCACAGTAGCCGAGAACTGTGAAACAAAAGCTCACCGGTTCGTGAACAGATTAGAGTGAATTAAATGGCGGTATGGCTACATTGGTCTAAAATGCAACGGATCCCTAAAAGAAAATTAATCATTGTCAGAAATTTTGGAGCCATATTGAACCATAATAAAGTTAAAATAATTAGCAACCTCAATAGGGTGCTAAATTATATCACATCGTACTTCTTATATTTGACTGTGATTCCATTTGAACAGATACTTCACCAGGGGCCTCGAACGCTATCGCCCACCCAAACGTTCTGGTAAGCTTGAAGGTGGGTGGGTTCGAATCCCGCCGTTACCCTGGATGACGTCCTTCTTTGTATTCTACTGTTCTGTCCTTCTATTTGGCAAAGGTTTATAAGCCCTCATTGTACACACAAGCCTGCAAATGAATAAAAAAGTTATTTGATGAACTTGTCTATGAAAAAAAAATTGTCGCATTTCAAAAGGTTAACCACCTCTGTTTTAATGTGAGGAAAGAAATACATGGAATCTTTTATTATATAAAGAATGTTTTTATATGAGAAAAAAAGAAGCTTTAATGAAAACAACAGCAATATAAATACGATTCACTACAAAATGAACAACACTGGTTACCCATTGCCAAAATGGCTGTTTTGTTTTGGAAAAGAAACTTTATTGTGTTTTCATCTTGGACATATTTAACTGTTAACTTCTCGGTACACAATCTTGCTGACATGCAGCTCCGAAACATTGTGTGTCAATTCTTCCGATGACTGAACAGCCAATCGAGATCAATATTAAAATTTTCGGATTGGTGTTTGATGGAGACTGCATCTTACACCCGTTTCGGATTCATAAGTTCATATATGAAATAGGATTTGAAAGCTAGACTTTTTTTCAATTTTACATGAATAGTGAATGAATCATTTATAGCGTGGAAGACAGTCTACGGTCTTGTACAAGTTATTGGGTACGTTGACAATGGTTCCTTTTATTCCTTAATTGGTGATCAGCACCCAGTTCTCGTATTCGCATGAAAGGGGTTCGGAGAGTCACCATTCGCTCTTCGATAAGGTTCAATTCTCTCAGCCCATTTTGCACTTATGCGAGGGACGGGCTTGCTTTTGCGAACGGAATCCTTTCGTTTTTTTCTGTTTGTGTGCAACGCTTGAAGTATTCCCGTCTACGTTCTTTGGCTTTTTCAACCTCGGTAAGTTTAAACCTTGGCATCTTTTTTTTTCTTGCTTCAACTCCAACCTTTGGGACCGTGTCAATCAGTTTGGACCCTCTTTATGTGTGATATTCACCTGAATTAGTATTGAAAGCGATGCAGTTTGAAATGTAGGTTAGAATTTCTGATTCTTAATTAAAGCAATAAAAACAAAATTTCGTTCAAATGATGAAATTCTCGTTTATTCACAACTCAAGAAGCATTTATGGGATCTCTCTGATCCCACCCATAACTCAAAAATAAACTCACCCATTTAATGCATAACAAAATTAAAAGTGAAAAAAAAAACGAATTCTAAAAAAAAAATCAAACAGCAGCAGCCGCCGTAGTAACGCACGCGCACTTTTGCTATTACTCTTGATTATTGTAGTTGAAAAGTGAGGACGCCATGAAATCCAAAACAAGACCCATTTTGCAAAAAGGTAAAAATGAGACTTCACCACTCAGGTCTCTAGTTGTCCGTTTTCCGCCCGTACTCACCATTGACCCTAACCCTTAGTCACAGTTCAAAACAGGTTTTATGAGAGCAACTCCAGGTTAGATTCCAAAATTTCATTTCACTGCGAGTTACTCTAACCCAGAGTTAACTGACTTTAACCTGAAGATATTCCCGGTCAGAGTAACCACGCATGCTGTAGTAAACAAGTATTTGTTTATTTTCTTCTTTTTTTCAGCCAGCAGTTTTTGTTTTTCTGTTCCCTTTTAGTTCTATATTTAAATTGTTTTGTTTTTCGATTCCTTCCAAAATGAAGGATTATAATCTAATCTAGTTCAAGAATTAGAATTCTTGGAAAAGCTAGAAAATAGGAGGGAGAGACATGTAGAAAAGTTCGAATTAGTCCATTTGATGAGTTCGACGAGTTGAGTTTTAAAAAAGATTTAGTCTGGACAAGGAAAGTGTTAGTAGGCAAAGACTTACAACATTCATCGACCCTAAATAACGCTTTGTCACCATTAGAACAAGTTACACTCCGATACTCTGCCACCCCTGGGAGATTGTTTCCAGTCGGCAATATGTAGAGTCAGCCAAGTCATTGTGCAAGGAATTTATTTTCTTCCCAAAGATCAAAGAAGAATGTGAAGAGGTAAAGTGAAATTTATTTTATTTAACTTGCTTACACCCTACAAAGCAATTAATATCTATGAAATGCAGCACCTATTTAGAAATTCATTTTATAAATTTATTTTTGTTTATCACTTACATTCAAGATAACACTGTAAATATGTAAGATATTCCAATTTACACTATATTCAAATGTGTAAAATATTCCAATTTACAGTCATTTCTTTTAGTTAAAGTAAAAGGTTATTACTGAATTGAAAAACAAAACAACTATGTTCTAATATAGTGTAACATCATCCCTATATGGATAATATGGGGATATTTCCTTATCATGATCTTTTGCACTAACTACAATTACTAAGGTGCTCATTAGATTTTAAACTCGCAAATTTTTTTTTATAAAAACACGTTCATATTTGCCCAGGAGTGGCTACGAGCTGTGGTTCCTCTCTGTCATGTTTTTAAAGGGATTTGGCGATTATTGTGCAACTGATCACGATACAGAAATATCCCTGAGTTTGTGCCTCTGTGAATGCTATTATTTGATGCGTGAATGCTTCTGTTAATTCATTGGGGGGGGGGACAATAGAAGATAGGATTGTTCTGAGAAACGCTAGTTCAAATCGCTTAGAAGCGTGATTTTATCATTGGATGTCCTTCTCTAACTTTTGTTCTTCAATTTGACGTGAGTTTTCAACCTCCTATCTTTAAATAACGGCAGAAAAGGCGATATTCAATAAGCTTAGGAGAAAGTAAAGTGTTGAAATATATTTAAAAATGTTTACTTAATAAACTTTTTATTTAATTTTTGAAGATTATATAAAAATAAAAATAATCTTTTTTTCCGCATACTGTAGGATATTTTCATAGTGTACAGTTGCAGTCTTTGGTTACGAAATAAAATACACTGGCCTCAAATTGGCGAGATTCATTTATATGTCATCAAACAGTCCAAAAGAATATTTAAATCGAATTTCATACCTTTCTTATAATTTATAATTGTCATTAAATACTCCGAACCATTAGGGTAAATTCAATTTTAATTTTACCCAGAAAATCCTTTAGTGAAGGCATTCAACCTCCAATAAAATAACCAATAAAATAAAAATAAAAAGTCTTAAAATAGTTTTATTTTTAAGTGATAAAATTGTACCAGTCCAATAGATTAGACGCTGAGACTCGAGAGATTTAAATGCGTAATTTTTATTTTCTTCTTGTTGATAAATGTTAAAAATCTGAAGTTTTACTCATACATTTTTAGTACTTACATGTTCTTCAAAATAGAGGATTCCGTGACCGAACCGATAGTATAGAATACACAGAAAGTACCTGGATTATAAAATATAAAAGGACAATGATAAACCACATATGGTCATTATTTCATTAAATTTTTCTTTCCTTCATATTGTTTCTAAATACGTAGGTACTTCGCATATTTTTGAAATTTCTACTCGATAGCAGCTCAGCACTATCTTACTGCCTCAATAAAATCCCTAATCTTTTTTTTTTACCAGAAAAAGCGACCTTTTGGACAATTTTAGAGTCTAATCTTTATATAGCCTCCTCAAGTGCCCAAAACAGAGAGGGGTGGGATTGGTTTTTAGGAAGAAAAAAAATGTTGTTGTTGTAGTTCATTTACGTCGCACTTCAGCTGCACAATAGGCTACTATCGACGGTCTGGAAAGCATCCCTGAGGATGATCCGAAGACATGCCATCACATTTTCACCGAAGAGGGGATGACACCCCCGCTTCGGTAGCCCAACGACCTGCTCGCGAAGTCGAGATCTTTACGGTAGAACAGTTTAACGAGGACCCATACCGCACACCCTCGGTCCCTACGCAGACCGATCCAGGTGGTCACCCACCCGCACACTGACCGCAGCCAGTGATGCTTGACTTCGGTGATCTGCTGGGAACCGTGTCTTAATGATCAGTCCACTGTGGGACAGGAAAAAAATGTAAAGAGAGTGAGTAGCCACACTTTTTCCAATTTGAACATTAGGTCCTTAAACAGTTCCTTAATATCGTTTCCAGATGCCTATTTCATACGCTATCATTATAGGTACATTTTAGACCAGAGGCGGAGAATGATTGCAGATTCAAAATTTATTTGTATTGAACTACGTCAGAATTCTTTTATCTCAAATATTTCAAGTGTCGGAACAAATTTAATACACATTAAAATGACATTCTTTTGAAGTTATTTGAAAATTATATTTATTACAAAGTACAGATTAGTACTTACACAACAAAAAAAAAATTTATCCAAAGAAAACCAAGAAAAATTTAACAAAAAAAATTATATCCAATGTTACATTCCTGAGATAGATTAAAATAAAAAGAGGGATCAAAACTGGAATAAAATAGTCTTTCGTTGGGAACAACTTTTCAGCCTCATCCTAAAGTGGATCCTTCATTTATTAACAGAACCGTTTCAGTTCTTTCATACTTAAAGATGAAAATATTATAAACGACGTCATTTTATGAGATGTTTTTTTTTTCTTTCTCCAGGGCAGTAAACGGAGCAACCAAAAATAGTTTTATATAAAAATGATACCTACGTAAAAATTTCTCTTCTCCCGTTAAATTGCAGTCGAGTCCCGATTATTTATGATTTTGTAGTTCATTTACGTCGCGGATAANCAGGGCAGTAAACGGAGCAGCCAAAAATAATTTTATATAAAAATGATACCTACGTAAAAATTTCTCTTCTCCCGTTAAATTGCAGTAGAGTCCCGATTATTATCGGAGTTTATGATTTTGTAGTTCATTTACGTCGCGGATAAATGTGAGGAAACATCCCTGAGGATGACATGCCTGAGGATGGCATCCCCGCTTCGGTAGCCCGACAACCTGCACGCGAAGGCGAGCACTTTACAGTTTAACGGGGACCCATACCGCACACCCTCGGTTCCTACGCAGACTGATCGTAGTGGTCACCCACCCGCACACTGACCGCAGCCAGAGATGCTTGACTTGCGGGGTGATCTGCTGGGAACCGTGTCTTAACGATCTGCAGAACATCCGCGTTTAAGAGGATCACGACTCATTCGGATAACCAAAAAACTCGGTTAAAGCGAAGAGTATAAAAAAGGAAAGAGTATGTATAAATGTGATTTATTTAACAAGTACAATATTTATACGCCACATTTATATTATAATTAAAAAGCTTGCTTAAAAACACTTAAAGAGTATATTTTACGAGAGTTTTTACTTAAAAAAAAGTCCTCCATCGTTTTTCATATCTTTGGCGCTTTTCTGCATCAATATTTCGCCATTTTTTTTTTTAGGTATAACAGGAAGGCAGTACTTTCGATAGCATGAGAGTTGTGCTGATTATCTCCGTCATCTTAGCTGGATTCATTAGTGACGATATCAAGTTGTTGGATTTCGTTTTCCTGACTGTTTGGAAGATGAAATTCAAGAATAAAATCGTTTTAAAAATGAAAAATAAAGTAGAACAAAATCATCGGTTAACACTAAACATACCATAACCGGCCGTTTATTTGACCGGTTATTAATGTTCTTATATTTTTGACACAACCCAGAAATCAAAGTAACTTGCAATTTAAATATCAGACTAAAATCATATTTAAACAACCTATATATTATTTAAAATTAAATTAAATTAAAATTGAAACAAATAAAATTTTGCGTTACATGCAATGGAAAACCACGAAAAAGTCTTTTAGATTGTTGAACGGAAATAGGATTCCACCTGAATGTTCATTATAGCAATGAAATTATTTTTTAATAATCAATCATTTTTTTAATTTTTTATCATCCTTGATATATCATCTTAGTAAATGTTGTGAAATGCTCTTATTTTTTTACTTTTTTGTACACAACCCAGATATCAAAGTAACTAGTAATTGAAATAGAGGAGTAAAATCATATTTTGAAAGACTTTTTGAA